TGGTTGCAAGTGACAGCCAGACTCGCAGACAGCCCGAAGCAGAAGAGGGCACTTCCTGACTTCAGTAAATAAGAAAACTAGGGGTGGAGCCTGATCCAGGGGCTCAGATGGATCCCCCACATCTGTCCCTGGGCCTCTCTCATCACCACTTCTCTGGGTTGGCCTCTTCCAGGTGGGCCACTCTACATGAGAGGGTGCAGTGGCCCCAGGAAGCGCCAGGTTGACATAGCTGTTAAGAGTTCCTACCTCTAGCACAGAGGTTAGCAAACTTCTTCCTTAAGGGATCGAATAGCGAGTACAGTACTTTAGGGTTTGTGGGCTCTAAGTTTTTCTAGCAGCTCTGCCTTTGTAGCAGGAACACAGCCACAGACGACTTGTAAACAAATGCATGTGACTGCGTCCCAATAAAGCTTTATTTGCACACACAGCGATGGGTCTGCTGAATCTGGCCCTTCAGTTGTTGTCTGCTGACTTCACTCTGAAAGGAGACAAGGCCTCTCTTCCAGTGGTTCAGGTAGAGTCGTGGGGAGGGTCCAGGGCTGGGACCAGGGTGAGGCCAGGGGAATACTCACTTTAGGCACAGAATTGCAGGGAGCTCCAAAAACCCTCAGCAATCAAGATCTATCATATTTTTATATAATATTAAAAAACCGAAAATACAGAAAAGACTCCATCACACGAAGGTCACATAAAAGTCATACAAAATGTCAAAACAGGGCCAGAACGAGGGGGTGCTGAGTACAGGTGATTTGAGGCGCCCGCCCTGCTGTGGCCAGGTCGTTGCTCAGCCCGGGTCACCTGCCGAGCCCTGTGGGAGACAGTGGTTGCCAGTGCTAAAGGCCCTTTACAGAGAACCAGATGGAACACAGATCCCCTGGGAAAGAGGGGTACAGTGGCCAGAAGAAAGGGCAAGACTTGCTGTTTGCCTGTCTTGGCCATGAAGTACTTCATACACATGCTTTATTTTCTCAATTGTTTCCCCCTCATCTCAAACCTCAAAGACAGGTAGTTATCCCCATTTTACAGATGAGGAAAATGAAGGACAGAATAAGCTGCCCAGGGTCACGCAAGACCTGAACTAGAATTTGAGCCAGGGTTTTTGTCCGCCAAAGTGCATTCTTTGAATTGGCATCGGTTAGCATTGAAACTTGGCAAAAATCCTCTGTCATCCTCTGTCAGCAGGGACCCCCGGGTAGCTCACCTTAGCGCTCCCTTCCTGGCTCTTGCTCTTGTCAGCAGATGGCTTTCAGGAGCTGGGAGAACCAGAAGCCCTCACCCGCTTTTGGAATCAGCGTCTGGTTTGAGGCAGTAAGCAATCAGTGTGTGCGCCCCAATTAAATTATGGACACTGCAGGTGTTAAGTGGCAGGTGAGCTGCGCTTTAAATAGACCACGTTAATTCTGGTGGTGGGAGAGGAGCCCTGCTGGGACATTGATGATCAGCATCCGCATCACTCAGGCGAGCTTTAGAAGGATTCCGGAGCGGTAAGCAATTTACGAAATGGAAAGGCGAAAACACACTTTGAAGTGTTTCTTGTGTTTTCAAGGTCAGAGGGAAGTGACTGCAGTTTTCAGAAAAGACAGGATGCAGGTGAGAGTCTCTGGACTGAAGTCGTGCTGGTTATACTGATGGTTGTCTGGTGGGTTACAATGCAAGTTATTGGCTGGCTGGCCGGCTGGCCCCGAGTGATACTCTCAGCAAATGCCCTGTCTTGGTTTCTGAGAGAGGCTTCAAGTAGAAGCCTTCCTTTGCTTTATTCTATCTTTATGTACAGACATTGACTCAGAGTGGTTTCATGCAACACTTTGCTCCCTAGGCCATTTTTTTTTAAAGAAAAAATTTTAACTTTTAAATAGGAAACATGTTAAAAGAAAAGTTATGCATTTGTGTGGTTTGGACTGATTTCTAATGGGTTTGGGGGGACTTTCCTGGTGGTCCAGTGGCCGAGACTCCATGCTCCCAATGCAGGGGGCACAGGTTTGATCCCTGGTCAGGGAACTAGATCCCACATGCTGCAACTGAGATAAAATTTTAAAGAAGTAACTAGTGGGTTTCAGAAGGGGGTTAGTTTGGCATTTAGGGATTGAGAGAAGGCATTCTGAGCGATCCACTCTGCTGGTGGTTTTACCAGTCCTTCTTGAGATGTTTCTTTGAAATGATTTCAGAGATTGACTTGATCCACGAATGCACACACACACTTGTACATATGTACACATTTAGATGCTGTGAAAAGAAAAAGGAAAAGAGGAAACAACCTGTATGCTCTCGGATAAGAAGGTAATTATTTAGCAAACAGTGGTTGGTCACCATGGGCTGGACGTCACGCTCAGTGTTTTATCTCCCTTTTCTCCAGTTACCCCAGAAACCCTGGGGGAGTCTACACTTCGGGGCTTCTGTTAAGAGAGAGGAGTCTGAAGCTTAGCGTGCTTGAGGGAACTGCACAGAGTCATTTCACTGAAGACCTCCTCACCTGTTGTCCTGCCCACGAGATCAGAAGCTTGTTAGCCACACGTCCTTCTTGTCTACCTCGGGGCCCATAGCTTCGCCCAGCTCATGGCTCCCAGGAGGAAGGCAGTCCATACTCCCTGAGCTGAATTGCAATTTTAGACTGAGCTTATCAGCCTGGTGTCCAGTTTATGGAGATGTGCGTATTCACATCCTTCTGGAAGGAAGGTTCAAAGATCTTGTCACTTTCTCAGAGGGGTCAGTGAGTCTGTTTAGCTCCTGGGTTGGAGTCCATCAGGCAATTGTGAACATGATCCTTTTCAAGGAGGCAGAGCTCCCCTCACTTTGCAAGATGGTGTGGTGACACGGTTCACAGTGAGACAGCTCTGAGGTTCCTTTCTGCTGTCTCACTTATAACTGTGTATCCCGGCTCCAGTCACTTCACTTGTCTGGGTCTCAGCCTTGTCTTTGACATGGAGACGGCCTTGGTGGTCGAGAGGACTGAGGTTAGATGCAAGTGTGGAGCGTAGTGGCTGGTACGTACTTAATGCTCAATAAGTAGCAGTGGCTGTCCCTGTTGTTGCTGTTATTAATATTGACCGTATTGAAAAGTATTGATGAACTGCTGTTAAGTAAAGAAGGTTGGTCACAAAATTAGGTATATACTAGAATCACACCTATGAAGAAAATCTGTGTGTGTATGGACAAAAAAGGCAGGATGTGAAGCGACGGGATGACTATTTTATGGATAAAAACACACTTCTTAGCTTTCCCTTAAAGCCTTAAATTTGTTCCTATTGTTAGACATACAGAAATCTCCCCAAAGGAGCTAGAAATGAGGATGGTTAGCTATGCAGAGGGATGTTTAAAGCACTAAATGGGGAAAATCGGCATTGTGTTCTGTTCCTGCAGTCAGAAAATAAACTGCGTTTACTGCGGAGCCACCGAAAATCATGTTTCCAAAGATCTTTAAATGTTACGGAGAAAATGTCCATGGTCTAGACAAGGAAAGAAACAAGTCCAGATACAAAGCTACGTGTGTGTGGTGTGTGTACATATATTTGTGTGTGTGTGTGTGTAAATGTACACGCGTCCCCTGGAGGAGGGCATGGCAGCCCACTCCAGTATTCTTGCTGGAGAGTCCCATGGACAGAGAAGCCTGGCGGGCTACAGTCCATAGGGTCACAGAGAGTCAGACACGACTGAAGTGACTGAGCGCAGACACACATACATATACAACACACAGTATGATGATATGTTTATTTCTTACTGCTGCTCTAACAAATTATTGCCAACTTTGTGGCTTATAACAACACAAATCAATTTTCCTACATTTATGGAGGCCGGAAGCCCAGAGTGAGTCTCCCTGGGCCAAAGGCAAGGTGATGGCAGGGCTGGTGCCTTCTGGAGGCTCCCGGGCAGGATCTGTTCCTTGCCTCTTCTGGCTTCTGGTGGCTTCTAGCAGTTTGCAGCATTCCTTGGCTGTGGCCGCATCACTCCAGGCTCTGCTTCCCTAGTCATGCCTCTGCCTTCCCTTCTGCCTCAGATCTCCCTCCCCGCCCCTCTTTTTTGTAAAAATTTTATTATTTATTTTTATTTTTGGCTGTGCTGGGTCTTCGTTGCTGCGCACAGGCTTTCTCTAGTTGTGGAGAGCAGGGGCTGCTCTTTGTTGTGGTGCGTGGGATTCTCATTGCGGTGGGTTCTCTGGCTCTGGCTCCTGGGCTCTAGAACACAGGCTCAGTAGTTGTGGTGCATGGGCTTCTCATTGCCATGGGTTCTTTTGCTGGGGAGCACGGGCTCTAGGGTGAGTGGGCTTCAGTAGCTGAAGCATGTGGGTTCACTGGTTTTGGTTCCCAGGCTCTAGATCACAGGCTCAATGATTGAGGCACATGGGCTTAGTTGCTCCAAGGCCTGTGGGATCTTCCCGGACCAGGGATCCAACCCATGTCTCCTGCATTGATTGGCAGGTGGCTTCTTTACCACTGAGCCACCAGCAAAGCCCTCCCCCTACCTTAAAGGTTACCTGTGGTTATGTCAGGCCAGAGAGACTATCCAGGGTAATCACCCCGTCTCAAGATCCTGAATTTAGTCACAGCTACAGAGGCCCTTGTGCCGTGTAAGGTAACATGTCCAGATTCCAGGGCTTATGATGTGGTTATCTTTGGGGGTCACAATTCAGCTATCACAGATGTCAATTTTGTGGAAAAAAGCAAAGTGCAGGCAAAGAGATTGATTTGAAAATGTTAACAGTGATCACCTCTGGATGGTGGATGGGAGGGTCATTTTTTTTTTTTCCTGCACCAAGCAGCTTGTGGGATCTTAGTTTCCTGACCAGGGATTGAACCCAGGCCCATGGCAGTGAGAGCCCTGAGTCCTAACCACTGGACTGCCGGGGATTCCCTGGAGGGGGGCTGGGGTCATGTTTATTTTGGGTATACTCTCCGGTATCTTCCTTTTCCGTGCTGAGAAGTACCTCTTGTACCTCCATCAACACCGCCCCTGGATGCTCTCTGCACGCGATGTGCGCCCCACGGCGTGGTCCCCTGTCTCCACAGAGCCCGTGTTCTGGTTCTACGTGAAGGAGGTGCTCAGCAAGCACGAGCTACAGCGCTTCTACGCTCTGCGCCACATCGCCTCGGATGTGGGTCGCGGCCGCGCCTGGCTGCGCTGCGCCCTCAACGAGAACTCCCTCGAGCGCTACCTGCACATGCTCCTGGCCGACCGTGGCCGGCTCAGGTACCTGGCGGGGCGGGGGAGTGGGTGCGTCTGGGCTGGGGGTGGCCATCGCAGGATCTGCCCGCCTGCATCCGGGATGGCCGGGTTCCCCTCTTCCAGCCCCAGCTTGTCCGGCTGGGCCGTGGGCACAGTCCACTGGAGACCAAGTGAAGATGCCTGTCGGGCTCCCTTCACATGGCAACTGCATGCAGCAGGCACTCAATAGATGCCTGTTATTATTAAGGCCTGGGGTGTGGAGTGAGCTATTGTCTTAGGACACAACATGTGCCCCTCTTGGCAGAATTTTAATCTTGGTTTCTTTCAGATCCAAAATTTCTTGCTCTTTAGATGTTGGGTGTTCAGTGCCCTGTTTCTTGCTGTGTATCTCCTTGTACACTGTGTACTGGATGGTTCTTCTGGCTTTTTTTGTTTTTTTTTTAGAGGTTTGTCGAGCTCAAACTGATGGAAAGTAATAGGGGCGTTTTAAGTTGAGGCGAGAAGTCATTTGTTATTAAAAACAACCCCTCCCATCCTTTTGTTTTCTTTTTTTCTTGATCATAAAGTTTATTCTGTCAGTTAGTACAGGCGAGGTTACGCTGGTGTAACAAGCATTTTGGAAGCCTCAGTGGCTTGAGACCACCAAGTCCGTGTCTTTCACCTGCTGCGTGTCTGTCATGGGTTGAGGGTCTCATGTCAGAGACCCAGGCTGACAGAGGCGCATCTCTGCATATACTTCCTGGATTGCCACTGCAGACAGGGGGCTCTGGCTAAGGAAAACACTGGCCCTCCAAGCTTCTGCCCACCATGAAGCTTCACTTCCACGCATATTTTATTGACCAGCAAGTCACACCACCATGGGCAAGCTTAGCAGGGTGGGCGAGATATGTTTATTCCACAGCGATAGGGAGAAGGCACTGAATATGTATCAGTGATTGTACAGTCAGCCACCTTCCCTTCAGAAACATCTGATGGATGCTGTAGAACCTGCTGGGACAAGACTGAAATCACTCGTAACCTGCATAGACATAGCTCTGCGAGTGTGTTGGTGTGTTTTCCTGTCACTGTGCTTGTGTGCTGATGTTTATGACTTCTGTCTCTGCCTCCCTCTCTCTCCCTCTCTTCCCTGTCTCTGTTTCTCCCTCCCTCCCTCTCGCTGTTATTTTCCCTCTGAGAAGGATGGACTAGACATGTCGTTTTGTGTCACCTGATGGTACAAAGAGACAGTGATCAATTCTGCCCCTGTCCCTTGAATAACTTCCACATTAGCAGTGCCCAGATCCTCAACAGTGAAATGTCACTTAGTTCAATAAGCTGGCATTTATTTCATCAGTGCTGTGATATATTCCTGTGATTTCATATCTTGCTGTGCGTTCCCTGGCTCAGGTCTCCTCTGCTGTTTCTTCTGCTGCTTGAGGTGGCCTTTCTTCCAATAGTTTAGGTGTTCTGGTGTTAGGTGTTAGGCATTCCAGGCTTGTGCACTGAGGCTGTCAAAGATACCCCAAGTTCTCTTATTTGATGTGGCCTGTGGTATAGCTTGTCCAGCTGTGTGTTCAGACCCTGTAGGTATGAAATGGGAGGGATGGGGGCCAGGAACACTGGCGACAGCAGTACCCACTTGCTGCTTAGGACTACTCTTGTCTGAGTTGGGAGGCTGTGCATGTCTGCAGGTACCTTTGAGCATTAACCAGCTTTCACTAGAGAAAACACACTCATGTTTCTTGCTTCCCTGGTGGCGCAGTGGTAAAGAATCCACCTGCCAATGCAGGAGAAGCAGGTTCAATCACTGGATCAGGAAGATCCCCGAAGAAGGAAATGGCAACCCACTCCAGTATTCTTGCCTGGGAAATCCCACGGACAGAGGAGCCTGGTGGGCTGCATATAATCCACAGGGTTGCAAAAGAGTCAGACATGACTAAGCAACTACACAACAACTCATGTTTCTTAACAGTAGGTTTTTTTTTTTTTTTAAATGCTAAGCTCTTTCCAGCAGATTATTTACAAGTGCCATCTGTTGTCTGTATCCCCAGCTTCTGCATCTGTGGACTCAACCAGCCGTGGATTGATTGAGTGCTGTGTTTAAGATCTGTGGTTGGTTGAACCCATGGTGGCAGAATTTGTAGATTAGGAGGGCTACCTGTACTGTGCTCTTGTATGTAAGCATCCTCAACTTTGGTATCTGTTGTGGGTCCTAGAGCCAATCCCCCATGGATACCAAGGGACAGGTCTGTCCTTCAGAGCCGTACTCTCAGTGTCACAGTTGAATGTAACAGTGAGCAATAGAAGGCAATCAGCTGTTAAGACTCACTGTTATACTTCACTGAATCACTAGCACCTCTAACTCAGTGTGGGTAAACCAAATTCATTTACGTTTAAGAAAACTGGCTCCAGTCTGTAAAGAATCACAGTTTGGGGGATTAGAGGTCTGACTGCACTGCCAGCTTGAAGATACAGTCTGTGCTTCCACTGACTTCTTTGCTGGGTTAAGTATGCTGACAATGATGTCTGTCTTTTCTCTTCCTGTTGGTTACATTCAGTCACTTCAGCAGCTATGTATCTGGTCTTTAGCTGAACTCCAGGTCACCCATCACTGACCGTGCTTCAGTGAAATTGAGTTTTGACTCTGTTAGTTTAGAGTTCTCTGACCTGGTGGGGAAGTCGGAGATGAGGATATTTACTTGTTATTGCCTAGCTGGGGGTCTGCTAAAGAGCTGGGCCGTGGGGCTGGGAGAGCTGCCTTTGAGCCCAGGCTGTATGATTTATTGCCGAATGACCCTGGACAGTGGAGTGACTGATTGGCTTTCTGGTCCCCTCCTCTACAACTGCCGTTTAGATCTGTGGGCTTTTTTAGCTTCCCAGCCCATTCCAGGAGGTAATTGGGGCTTTTGAGGCTGCTGCCCAAACTGGTGTTACATACAGATGCCTTGGTTGAAGGGCCCAGGGAACTAAAATTTCGTTCTGAAATTGTCTCTTCTTGTATGAGTCCACTCAGGGGGTCCCTGTGGGCTGGCTTGGATTTCCTATCTATTTCTTAGAAACGTTGCTTGAGTGAAAGTCACCACTGTTTGTCCCCTTTTCCTTTTCTGCTTCATAAGTAGTGTGTTTCTATCTCATGCCTATCTTGGTACTCTCAGGCTCTAATGATATCAGGGGACCGATGAGGAAGTTGTAGGATATATGCGTTCAATCCTTTATAACCAGAAGACCCAGCGCAGCAGAGACCTTGCATGGCCACTTTGGCATGGACAGGCATGAACTTTCCAGGGAGCCATATGAAGGAATTGTCTGGCTAATGGATGCTGAGAGCAATGGTTTAGAGCATTCCCCCTCTCTTTTCCATTTGCAGCACGTTTTATGAAGACTGGGCTTTTGTCATGGATGAAGAAAGGTCTAGCATGCTTCCCACCATGGCAGCTGGTAAGCTGGCCAGGGTCAGGGCCAGGGGCGGGGGGCAGGGGTTCCTCTGAAGCTTGGTGAGCAGAGGAGCTACCTGGGAGTGGATGTGTAATTCCACGGGGTGCTGTGGGTTCTCCCGTCCCTCATTGAATGAAAGGGCCACTCATCACTCGCCACTATCCTTCCTTTAGTGGCATTTATCTAGAATTGTGATACCCTGGCTGGGAAAGCATGGGATTGCGGGGGTTTTGGTTGAGGCTTTGCAAGTGTGAGATAAAGATCCAGGGAACAGGAGCGGGGGTGGGGGTGGAGGGAGGAGACAAGTCTTGGAAGCCTGGCTCTCCCTCCCTCTGGCAGGTGGCCTGAGGCAGATCTGGTGAGTTTTTTTACCATTAACCTTCCTCTTCTGCGAGGTGGGAATCCTGATGGCACTGTAGTCAGCTTGATAGGGTTGTGAACGAATCAGATAAGAGAGTCAGTATGTGATTTGTCCCGGTGAAAGTCCTGCCTTGGTGCTAGTTGATGAATTGTTAAATTGTCTAATGTTTGACTCTCACTCAAAGGGTGAATGCAACCCAAGTGGGTACCTTGCTTCTTTCTTCCAAATCCTTTGTGGCCTCCTCTTTCTCTCTTTCCTGAAAGTTTTCACTGAGTCCCACCTACTGAGTTACATTAGGCTTGTCCTTTGATGAGGAAGAGTCAGATGACCATGATGTTGTATGTAGGCCATAGGAGACCAGTGCACGTTTTTGCCTGAAGGTATAGTGGACATGATATTGGCGCATGGTTTTTTTTTTTTTTAAATTGAAGGATAATTGCTTTATAGTGTTGTATTGGTTTCTGCCATATGACTGCGCGAATCAGCCATAATTTTATATATCCTGTCTCTCTTGATTGGAGAAGGAAATGGCAACCCACTCCAATATTCTTGCCTGGAGAATTCCATGGACAGAGGAGCCTGGTGGGCTCCAGTCCATGGGGTCGCAGAGAGCAGGACACGGCTGAATGACTGTCACTCACTCACTCCCTCTTGATCCTCCATCCCCCCTCCTACCCCACTCCCCTAGGTCATCACAGAATATTAGGCTGGGCTCCCTGTGTTATATAGCAACTTCCTGCTAATTACCTATTTTGCACAATAGTGTGTATATGTCACTTTTTGATTGCTTACCAAGCTGATTTTGGTGGGCGATGGTCTTTAAAACTCTGTAAGAGAGGCTGTTGTCCCTCTTTTATAGATAAGGAAACTGAAGCTCAGAGAGGTCATGAATGGCTTGACCAAGGTCTCAGAGCTACTGAGCGGCCGTGCTGGGGCTCAGCCCAGGCAGTCTGACCCCAGAATTTAAGCCTTCCCCTCCCCATGACTGACTTCTTATTTGAGTTTGTCTTCCTGACAAATAGGGGAAGACTTTGGAAGACAACTCCCATGATAGTGGTGTCTCCTGACCCCAGTTTTGTGGGAGTTGTTTGATTGTTTTTTAAGTCACCGTTTGAGATGAGTGTGTACCCTCTTATGTCCTCTAACGTCGCAGCTTGTTTATTGTGTTGGAAGTGTGACTGTTGAATAGCAGACACTCCAGACTTCTCCCTTTTCGGGGGGTAGGTCTGAACTCCATACTCTTCGCAATTAACATCGACAACAAGGACTTAAACGGGCAGAGTAAGTTTGCTCCCACCGTCTCGGACCTCTTGAAGGAATCCACGCAGAATGTGACCTCCTTGCTGAAGGAGTCCACGCAAGGAGTGAGCAGCCTTTTCAGGGAGATCACAGCGTCCTCGGCTGTCTCCATCCTCAGCAGAGCTGAGCAGGAGACCGACCCCCTGCCCGTGGTGTCCAAGCACATCAGTGTCGGTGAGCGAGGATGCGGGGACCAGGGTCGGGCGGGGAGGCGGATGGGGGCACCCAGGGAAGTGAAATCCGATGCACTGGTATCTTCAGCTCGCGTTTCTGTCTGTCTGTCTTACTCTTATTCACTCCGAAAGCGTGCTGAGAGGCTTCCTGGGATGTGAAGATGACAAGGTAGCCAAGCCAGCAGCTCAGTCAGGGCATACCGAGAGGGAGGGCGTGATGGTCACGTGAAGCCAGAGGAGGTTGCCCTTCGTCCTGTCATCCATTCATTCGTTTAATCATCCTTCTGATCAGTGGGATGAAAGCCCAGCCTAGGGTGCTCTGGAGAATGTAGACTGTTGAGGGGGTGACGTTTAAGTGGAGGCCAGGGAAAGAGAGGAGATGGTCGGTTTTGACTCTAGGCTCTGGGTAGGCAAAGGAAAATGGATTCAGTCCTGATTAATTTTGTAAGAAGTTTTACAGTGCCCCCTTGAACCTTCTGGCACATCCAGAACTTTGAAACAGCAAAATAGGAAATTTTGGGTATAAGGGCTTAATCCCTGGTATTCTCAAATCCCTTAAATAAGGCAGTAATCATGGTCCTTCCTTTGGAGTTATTAATGATGGGGAAGCTCAGAGTTCTGTGAAGTCTTTAGTATACACTGACTTTACCTGTCTTGCCTTCTCCTTTTTTTTTTAGTTATTAAAACATTTTTTTGGCTGTGCCTCAGGGCATGTGGGGTCTTAGTTCCTTGACCAGGGATTGAACCTGTGCCCCCTGCATTGGAAGTGCAGAGTCTTAACCACTGGACCACCAGGAGGGCCCACCCCTCTCCTTGAGCAGAGACCTCATGCAAACAACATGGACTGTTGATGACTGTACCAGATATGCTGGGATTTGTACACCCAGAGGACTATCTTTTTCCATCCATTTTGGGAACCCTGCTTTTGACATTGTCTCCAAGTTGTGGCACGCTGGTGGTGATGCATCCCCACGTCACACCTTAGTGGGTGGATCTGTCTTTTTGGAATTGGCTCCAAAATGCTTCACACCCAAGGTTGATGATTAAGATGAGTGAACAAGCTGGCTCACCTAGGTGCTAGGCGCCAAGGCAGTCTTGACTTCTGTTTCCGTTTGTCTTTGCTGCGTAACAAACAGCTTCAAAATGTAGTAGCTTAAAACAGACAACCTCAATTTATTCCTTTTTTTGTGAGTCTGTGGGTTGGCAGGATGGTTCTTCTGCTGGTTTTCACCCTGGGCTCCCTCATGGGGCTGCATTCAGCTGGTGGCTGAGCTGGAAGGCCCAAGGTGGCCCCACTCACGCATTTGGAGTTGGTGCTGACTCTTGGCTGGGGCATCTCAGTTTCCCCTACGTTGGCCTCTCATCCTCCAGTAAGTTAGACTGGCTTCTTCTGTGGTAGTTTCAGGGCAGTATTCCATGAGGGTAACGCCTGGGCTCTAGAATTCACACATTTGTTATTTCTGCCACATTCTGTTCTTAAAAGCAGAACACTAAGCTGGCCTAGATTCAGGAGGGTGGAGAAATAGGCACCACCCATGATGGGAGCAGTCCTACTGAAAAGGGGCACCTTGCAGGGTTGGGAGGAATTGTGGCTGTTGAACAATCAGTTACAATCCCTAAACTGATTTTCTTGGTCTCATCTCCCAGCCATGAGAGTGTTTTCCAAAGTGAAAGGGTAAAAATCATTTCAGTAATGATTCATCTTTTGAATCAAAGTGCTTGGAAAGATTGCTTAGAAGGAGTGATTGTAATGTGTGCTCTGTGACATATTTCAAACCAGAAGTAGAGGCCCACATCCATTTTGCTCGGTCTCACATAGACAGATTTTTTTTTTTCCCCCCAAAGGATTGAACAAAAGGTCTGAGTTTATCTTCAGTTTATTTTTGAGTAGAATAGTAAGAGATTTTCCACAGTTTAGAGGCAGGATGGGTCGATCATTGCTTTTTCTCGCCTGCTTTTTCTTATCTCATATCTTTTGCCAGATGCCAAATGTAAAAGGGAGCGGAAGAAGAAAAAGAAGGTGACCAACATCATCTCGTTTGATGATGAGGAAGATGAGCAGAGCTCCGGGGATGTTTTTAAGAAGATCCCCGGGGCAGGGGAGAGCTCGGAGGAGAACTCTGACCGGTCCTCAATCAATATCATGTCGGCCTTTGAAAGCCCCTTTGGGCCAAATTCCAACGGAAGTCAGGGCAGCAACTCTTGGAAAATTGATTCTCTGTCTCTGAACGGGGAGTTTGGGTACCAGAAGCTGGATGTGAAAAGCATTGATGATGAAGACGTGGACGAAAACGAGGATGACGTATACGGGAGCACGCCAGGAAGGAAGCGCCCAGGCCACTCGGAGTCGCCAGAGAAGTAAGTTCCATCCTAGAGCTTTTACGAAAGGGTAGTAAGGGATGTCCCTGGTGGTCCAGCGGTTAAGAGTTCACCTTCCAGTGCAGGAGGTGTGGGTTTGATCCTTGGTCAGGGAGCTGAGATCCCACGTGCCCCAAGATCAAAAAACCAAAACATGCAAAATAGAAGCAATATTGTGAGAAATTCAATAAAGACTTTAAAAATGGTCCACATCTCAGAATTCTGCCTGCCAGCACAGGTTACACGGGTTCGGTCTCTGGTCTGGGAGGATTTCACATGGCTCGGAGCAACTCAGCCTGTGTACCACAACTGCTGAACCTGCGCTCTGGAGCCCGAGAGCTGCTAGTTGCAGCTGAGCTGCTAGCTGCTGAGCCCGTGGGCTGCGGCTACTAAAGCCCGCACACTCTAGAGCCCGTGCTCTGCCACAAGAGAAGCCACTGCAATGAGAAGCCCACGCACCACAACTAGAGACAGTAGAGAGTGGCCCCTGCTTGCTACAACTAGAGAAAAAGCCCACGCAGCAATGAAGACCCAGCATAGCCAGATAAATAAGTTAAAGAAAGGTCCACATTAAAAAAAAAAAAACCTTAAAAAATGTTAAGAAAAAAAAAAGGGTGGTACACAGGCTGCTGGCTCTTTCTGCAGTTTTGGGTGACATTAGACTGCAAGTTTTTTATTTGTTTGCGGTATCTTTCATTATTCAGATCTTGATTTTGGGGGAAGGAGCATGAGTTTACTCTATTCCTGAGAACTAAGTGAAGGGAACATATATATTGTTGGAACAGTACTTACTGCAGCATTGGTGTCAAGATGTATGACCTGAAATTCTTGCTTTGTGTTTAGGTCTTTCATTTTATTCCTTGAATTTTGCTCGCATGTCTTACTTGCCACCAGCCCAGGAAGTTCAGGAGAGAGGCAAGGTGCTCTAGAGAACAGTCTCCGGCTGGTAATTTCTGTGTTTATCCGCAGGGTAACTTGCCTGCACTTATCACCTTAACACTGGAGCTGTCGTATGTTTATATCTTGAAGAGGGGCTTGATGCAGGTGAACCTGTGAAGCAGAAAAGCAAGGTTAGGAGATTGAACCTTAGAATCTTGACAACCGGGGCTCTCATTTACTAGCTCCGCGGCTTAGTTTAGACTAGGACAGACGAGTTTCTTCGCCTCCCAGAGCCTCAGGCCTCCCCTGAGATCTGAGAGAACAGCAGCACGTGCTTTGCAGAGTTGTTGTCCAGTCACTGGGACCCTTCATGTGAGGCCTTGGGCATTGGTGCTGGCACGTCGAGAAAGCCTCGCAGCTGTGACTGCTGTGGCGCTGTAACCCTTGTAATCATTCCTGTCCTTGTTCTTACCCTTTTTAAAAAAATTTATTCATTCATTCTTGACTCTGCTGGGTCTTCATTACTGTGAGGGCTTTTCTCCGGTTGCAGAGAACGGGGACTGCTCTCACTTGTGGTGCACAGGCTTCTCATTGTGGTGCCTTCTCTTTTGCAAAGCGTGGGCTCTAGAGAGTGGGCTCTGTAGTTGTGATGCATGGGCTTAGCTGCCCCGTGGCTTGTGGAATCTTCCCGGACCAGGGATCGAACCCATGTCACCTGCATTGACAGGTGGACTTTTAACCACTGAACCACCAGGGAAGTCCTGCTCTTACTCTTGATGCTGAATCAACTAGTGACTTCTTCACCTGAGCTCTGGAGTGTGCAGTGCCACCCTAGTCACGGCTGTCTTCAGAACTGGCCCACAAAAGTGTCCAGTGAAGAAGCCGAGACCCCACGGGATGCCAAAGAGGCCAAGTGCGCCTCCAGTCCTAAGCTTGGCGTCTCCATGTGTTGAGTCAGAGTTTTTTTTTCTTTCTTGTGAGTCTCTGCCTGTTTTTGTCTTTGATTTTTACTCTCATCCTCATTCACGTGGATGCTCACGATAGTAGCATTGCCTCCGTATCATCTAGGATAGGCCAGACACTGAAAGCTGCACATACACTGTATCCTAATACTTAGAGTGATCTCTGGGTGTTCGTGGGTGTCACCCCACTTGATGGATGAAAGAACCAGGTTCTTTAATGTAGAGAGTTGAGATTTGTCAAAGCAATGGGCAAAACCAGGATTAAGGTTAGGTTGCACTGGCTCCATTTTTCTTTCTGCCCAAGGTTTTTTCCTCCTGGGGAAGTCCCCCTGTGTCATTGTTCTTGCTCCCTGGGTATGGATGATTTTTTACCTGGATCCAGTCTTGTGACCCATGCTGTTAAGAGTTCTCCAGAGAAACAGAACCGATAGTGTATATGTGTGTGTTTCTGCATGTGTATCTATGTATGTATCTATAGAGATTTACTTTAAGAATACGTATGTGTGTATCTTCAGAGATTTACTTTAAGAAATTGGCTCATGCGATTGTGGAATTTGACAAGTCTAAAATCTGCAAGGTAGACCTGCAAACTGGAGGCCCAGGGGAGGACTGCTGTTCAAATCTGAAGACAATTGGCTGACAGAATTTCTTCTTCTTTGGGGGGAGAACATCTGTGTTTTTCTGTTGAGGCCTTTAACTGATTACGTGAGGCCCCCCTGACTTATGGAGAGTGATCTGCTTTACTCGCGCTCTCCTGACTTACATTTTAATCTCATCTAACCAAATGTTTTTACAGAGACATCAAGAATAACATTTGGTCAAATATTTTGGTACTGTGGCCTAGCCAAGTTGACACATAAAGTTAACCATCACACCTGCCTATGGTTCTTCCCCTTGGGCCTTTTAGGAAATGCCATTTGCATTTTCTGTCACTCTAGGTAAGCGCATCTCCGAGTTGCATCACTCCATGAGTTGGTTTTGTGGCCTCAGACAGTCGTTTCTCTTCCCGCTGGACCAGCGCCAGTGAGGGGAGGCCAGCTTGCGAGCTGGGGCAGCCACCGGCATTGTGATGTGTGAGACACAAAACAGAGCAGGCTGACCTTTACAGGCTCGGCCCTCTGAGGCCACTGGGCCTCCTGTGGACTATGGACAGCTGCTCCCTGGCATAAAGAGGGGATCTTGAGCCAACATCCTGCAGAGCATCTTGGGGAAAGAGCAGTGATGAGATGGCCTACTGAGTAATGCTTTGATTTTGCTTCTAAGCTAGATTCATGTGAAAGGTCTAGGAACCTGGAGGGGCCGGGACTTTAGAGTTTAATAGCGTGGCCAGGTTTGTGGGAGGAAAGGGGCCAGGCCGGGAGATGCACATGCTGGGTGGCAGCGGCCTCTGGCAAAGTCAAATGCTCTGATTGTTTTTTATTAATAGATGCGCTGTTGGCCAAATATTGGGTTTACACTCCACGTGCTGGCAATTAAGCCACTTCTTGGATGACTGAGGAAAGATCTTGTGCCTCCCACCTCAATATTTATAAGTGATTCAGTTCAGGTCAGTCGCTTAGTCGTGTCCAAGACTGTGACCCCAGGGACTGCAGCATACCAGGCTTCCTTGTCCATCACCAACTCACGAAGCTTGCACAAACTCATGTCCATTGAGTCAGTGATGCCATCCAACCATCTCACCCTCTGTCAACCCCTTCTCCTCCTGCCTTCAATCTTTCCCAGCATTGGGGTCTTTTCCAATGAGTCAGTTCTTTGCATCAGGTGGCCAAAGTATTGGAGCTTCAGCTTCAGCATCAGTCCTTCCAGTGAATATTTAGGACTGATTTCCTTTAGGATTGACTGGTTTGATCTTGCAGTCCAAGGAACTCTATGAGTCTTCTTCAACACCACAGTTCAAAAGCATCAGTTCTTTAGTGCTCAGCTTTCTTTATAGTCTAACTCTTACATCCATACATGACTGCTGGAATAACCATAGCTTTGACTAGATGGACCTTTGTCGGCAAAGTAATGTCTCTGCAGTCTAGGTTAATCATAGCTTTTCTTCCAGGGAGCAAGTGTCTTTTAATTTCATGGCTGCAGTCACCATCTTCAGTGATTTTGGAGCCTGAGGAATAAAGTCTGTCACCTTTTCCATCGTTTCCCCATCTATTTGCCACAAAATGATGGGACTGGATGCCATGATCTTTGTTTTTTAAATGTTGAGTTTTAAGCCAACTTTTTCACTCTCCTCTTTCACTTTCATCAAGAGGCTCTTTAATTCTTCTTTGCTTTCCTGCCGTAAGGGTGGTGTCAACTGCAAATCTGAGGTTATTGATATTTCTCCCACCAAATATCTTGATTCTAGCTTGTGCTTCATCCAGCCCGGCATTTCGCATGATGTACTCTGCATATAAGTTAAACAAGCAGGGTGACAATATACAGACTTGACATACTCCTTTCCTGATTTGAAACCAGTCCGTTGTTCCATGTCCAGTTCTAACTGTTGCTTCTTGACCTGCATACAGATTTCTCAGGAGGCAGATAAGGTGGCCTGGTATTCCCATCTCTTGAAGAATTTTCCACAGTTCGTTGTGATTTACACAGTCAAAGGCTTTGGCATAGTCAATAAAGCAGAAAGTATATGTTTTTCTGGAACTCTCTTATTTTTTCTATGACCCAACAGATGTTGGCGATTTGATCTCTGGTTCCTCTGCCTTTTCTAAATCCAGCCTGAACATCTGAAAGTTCATGGTTCACATGCTGCTGAAGCCTGGCTTAGAGAATTTTGAGCATTACTTTGCTAGTTTGTGAGATGCGTGCTATTGTGCGGTGGTTTGAACATTCTTTGGCACTGTCCTTCTTTGGGATTGGAATGAAAACTGACCTTTTCCAGTCCTGTGATCACTGCTGAGTTTTCCAAATTTGCTAACATATTGAGTGCAGCACTTTAACAGCATCATCTTTTAGGATTTGAAATAGCTCAACTGGAATTCTATCACCTTCACTAGCTTTGTTCATAGTGATGCTTCCTAAGGCCCACTTGACTTCACATTCCAGGATGTCCGGCTCTAGGTGAGTGATCACACCATTGTGGTTATCTGGATCATGAGGATCTTTTTTGTACAGTTCTTCTGTGTATTCTTGCCACCTCTTCTTAATATTTTCTGCTTTTCTTAGGTG